CGTTCGGCACGTTGGTCGAAACATCTTCAATCGTATTAATTGGTTTCGACGCCCTCTCGTGTAGTGAGATGTAGGTAAAGGCTGTTTTATGTAGTAATTGTAGAGGATCCTCCGAGTACCCCTCGCTGAATAATACCAGCCCAGCTGGACGGCGTTCAGACTGTCAGGGTTTTCCCGTGCGAAATTATTAACTTAATCGGGCACAGTACCTATTTTGCTCTTGTCAAGGAGATAACGACCATCTTGAAGCATTCTTGTTGGCACCGGCCAGAAACACTGGGCCAGTAGATAAGCATTCGAACAATCCGAACAAATGGATTAACCCGAAACATGCGGGGATACCTTATTTTCTTCTGTGTTGTGTTGTAAAGCGTATGGTTAACTACCTCCTAAAGTCAGTAATTTATCGTAATTCCTGCCGATGCAGAATCGACTTGAATGCGGTATTTCGATTGATATTTTCTGCGGATAGCTATGCTTCTGGCTGCTACGCCTAATGCGTATGGTTTCGACTTTGGACTTACGGCCGCAAGTAATACGCACTGGCTCTTCAGGCATTAATTAGTTAACCACGGTACCACAGATTTGAGGTGCGTGGAATTTGTTTGTTACAGATTCGGCCTCGCTTCAGGAGAGCTCTCTACAGCGACTAAGTTTATTCGAGGTAAGATTGTTACGATTACATGTGAATAGTTGCGCTTTCATTATCGATAGTATTTAATTTTGTTTTTGGGAACCTATAATCAATTAATTACTAATCAATCTCTGTCGACTAGGGAGATTTTAATTGAACATTTAATTTACTAAGAGTTTTGAGTCACGTAACCAATAATTTTGAATATTTGGGGAGTATTTTGTATTAGTAGGAACACGCTATCCAATTTTGGAGATTTTATTTTGAGATTGATTGAATACATCAGTATTTCCTTTGGAACATTCATTTCACTGTTATTTCTACCTTCCTCTCTTCTCAATTTCGTACCGGGAGAGTTAAGATAGATATTCAGTGGCACTCAACGCTATTGGTAGATCTCAAACTTTAATTTTATTTTCTAACTCTGAGCTAGTTGGGCGTTTATGCGGCGGATTTGAGTTAAATCAGCGCCAACCTAAACCTTACGTGATAAAGCAATAAGACGAAGCATTTAGAAAAGCGTACGCAGTTGCCAAAATATGGGCAAAATTATTGGACCACAGCGGGTTTGGTCGCGAGATTTGCTTTGGTCTCGATTCGTATTTCTTAAGTGATATTTCTTTAAACCAATTCAAATTTTATTTAGCCATAAGGCGTGTATGAAAATTTGGGTAAAAAAATGCCAGGCGAGTATTACGCATAAAAAAATTAGATAAGGGGATATCAGAACCGATACGTGGTCACTAAATAGGGATCAATATTTTAAATCAGAAAAAATGTAAGGAAAGCATAGTTAACACTAGATCAGTTCCCGAAATTACCACGGGAACGGGAAAAACTAGATACACAACTAATAGGCGGTACGAAATCGCCCGAACGACAATAAAGAAAATACTATGAAAGAACAATACTTTTAATACTGAAGAGTTTTATGAACTGAGTGTCCCAAAATGCACACACGAAGTAATTTTAGTAGAAAACACAGCTTTTTATTTTAACAATGGCGATTTTTAATTGGTTCGTAAACTATACACGATTATGTATAGAACAGCATATCAGGTAAGTGGCGTCCATGGTGCAGCTGGCACATATAAACTCTTTTGATAAAATTTTCTATAATCAGTGGGAACACGTATTAAAATTATACGTTTGGAAATCATGACAAGGAGCATACAGATTAAAATCGGCTTCGTTCCCCTTCCCATAAAGATTTCATTGCCCAATTTTCCCTGTGCCGTAACGTCAAGGTGAAACGGACTATAATATATGTATATATGATTTCTTAAATAACCACAATCCATAGTCAATTACTTGGCGATAACTTCTAGTGGTCACGGTACTTTGTATTATGTGATTTTTCAATGGATAGCGTTTTTATTTTGGCTAAAATAGCTAACCATTCAATTTCAAAGAGTATTTGATATACAATAATTAACATCACGTTTTCCTCACATTGAGGAAACCATGGTACTACTGAAACTTCCACTCATCTCTTCCTTATTCTGTATCTATCTACTTATGTTATTGGCATAGTAAATAGTACGAAACAATTAAAAGCGGTATGTGATTGTCAGAATGGGTTTATGACATTTTTTAGATTTTCTATATGACTTCCAGGTCGATTTTGCTTTCTATTGTTTGAATGGGTGGCGGATGCCGCCTTCGGTTTACTGCAAGAAATTATCTTCAGTTTCTTTATGACTAATATCATTTTACGCTTCAGTCAAATCTGGTATGCGCTACTGGTTTAATGCTAAGATGATTCCATCTAAATGAGAAAAGCAATGTCGATAATATCTCGTATTTCTGTTCATCAAATCTCAAATTTGAAAAGATTTTACCTAAATTCGAACACAACGTTACAAGCGTTTACAACCCTTATAACCTTTCTAATAAAAAAGTAATTACACCATTGTATATTCTAATTTATCTATTTTAAATACGTGCTAATTAGTGGTTAACCAATCATTCGCAAACAGCTCCGTTTTTTGATAACATACTGCAGCGAAAGTCATTTAGTAAATTTCGGTATCCAGAGCCATAACGCTGGATGGGAAATTTTTACGCTATTAGAAACAGATTGATCAACAATTGTAAAATACGAGCACAATTTATTTCAACCGACGATTATTAAAATCTCAGTTATCTTAACTCACATAGTACTCCAACTTCCGTTAAGTAATTGTAAAACTTATCAGTTCTTTGGTTCTACAAATGAAAGAATACAAAAAATCTAATTATCGTTCTAATTAGCGGTTTCCTAGTTTTTTAAACTAATTGTGTATGTAGGAATTGTATCCGTCTTACATGACCCTATTATACAAACGGTTAGGAGAAACCTTTCCTGCTAACTAACATTATATCTACCTTTTTACATTGCTTAATAACAAAACATTTACCCTGCAGCTGGAAAGACAAGCTCGAGTCTTGAGTTTAATAGCAAATTTATGTTGTCGAGGTTCAGTTGAAGAAATGTATTAGGGAGTCCATTAAATTGCAACCTCTAGTAGTAATACTTAATATTACCCTCATTTTCTTTACGTTACAGCATTTTTCCTGTTTATTTGAGGGCATCTTGAAACCGTTAGATGTGATTCGCACCTGCGCATTCTATGCATCTTTCCTCTACCTTGCAGTTCTTCTGGTTATGTCCAAATAAAGCTTGGGATTACTTCTTCATGGTTTGGAATGGTCCCCGAAAATAAACTTAGAAGGCGAACACGCAATTAAGGACAACATTTGGAGAGAAATCAAAAAGTAACGAACACTATGCGGAAATAACAAAAGGCTGGAAAATAAACGCAAAGCGGGAAAATCAATACAACAAACAGACGATAGAGGACGCTACAAAGAAAACCAAAGAAGCGACACAGATCGTAGAAAGCAGAGTGAAAGACAAACAAGCATAAAACCATAGGGAAGGGATTAAAGAAGCAAAAGAAATAGGAAGAGGGTAAAGACTTAACAATGGATATAAGGAAAATACAGGCGAATTTCAAATATAATTTACAATCACAAAAAAACCACCAACAAAACTCAAAAGAAAATCCCTAATTATAAAACTAAATATTAACCCCAACATAAAATAAAAACAAAAGAAAACAAAACTTCTTGAGGGATTTTGAAGGCGCCAACACTACATCAAAGTTAAACGGGAAAAAGGGAGGTAATAGCATATCGCCATCGTCTTTCTGCAAATCGTCATCATTTTCGGATTCGGACATCCCAGTCTTCATACCGGGCTTCGTTTTAAATCTTCGTTTTAGAGGGTCTGCTTTGATTTTTAGATTGAAGAGATTGTCCATTTCGTACATCTTTTTGTGGTCTCTCGACAAAATTACCAAGACCATCTTTTTTGGATTCGGTTTACCATTGGTCAGTTTGGTCATCCTATGGACGATTTCAGGAACACATTTTTGGGCTATTAATTCCTACTTAATTTCATCAGTTGTTTAAATTAGAAGGGATTCCTTTGAAGACCACCCGCAACCTCTTCTGGGATTTAGTTGGATCAATCTTAATCTCTTTCTCATTCAGAGTACTCTGCAAGTTTTCCCACTTAATCTCCTCTCTCAGAAGTAACGGTGGAATTTTGGGTTTGGGTACCGGTTGGTTACCTCAATTTTGTTGTTGGTTCCCTTGTTGGTCCATTGACTGGTCCAGCTTTTTTGCATCTGTTTTTTCTTTGAGGCGTTCTCATTGGTTGCCGCCGTAGGGTGTTTCTCTTTTCAGAGTTCTTCTGGTGGAGCTTGTAGTCGGCAACTAGCTGCTGGTTATGTTTTCCACAACTTCATTGTATTTGGCTTCCAATGAAAGAGAATACCCATTGAAAACTTGAAATTGGGTGTTGATCTCGCCCTTAAGAATTGGGTTCTTATTAGTTAGGATGCTAATGACGTCGTCATGATGGATAATATCGTTATCATCAACGTCGCCTTTTTACGAATGGTCGTCATCTTCTGTTACCACTTCGGTAACACGCCACTATATTACCTACACCTGTAGACCAAATGCTAAATTTGACTTATATTTTCGCTGGGTTTTCAATTAATGTATACTCAGTTTTGTAAGTGTTACATTTCCTCCCTTTGGGTGGAATAGCCACTCCCTTAAAGATTGTAGGGTGTTAAAATAAGAAAAAAATGCGAGTAAATACATGGTCTAAAGGGCGTCGTAAACTTAACCACCAATAAGAAGTAACTGTCACTAAAAGTATATTTCCGAAATGTTACCAAAGTGCAAATTTCCTTTTGTTTCATGTCGTCTAGTTCATTAGTCTATTACGTTATATTTGGAAAACCGTCGACTTTAGACTAATCGGTGGAGATATCGTTATGTATAGGTACCTAATTCAATTCCCAATAAATAACGTACATACAGTTCATATATTTTGATTTAGAATATTAATTTAACAATAAACATAAAACTCCTTATTATTAATGTTATTCCGTAAGGTAAGGCACCTCAACTGCTGGTGTAGGTTTCGGCGGGTCCCTGAAAAAAAAATGTTTAATCAAATTGAAAGCGAAAGAAAACAGGCGCAGTAAGAAAGTTTATCAAAGGTTATTTTTATCTATTTATCCCCAAGTGGATGCGTACATTGCCCTCCTTAACCTCTGACAGACAAGCACCCCAATTTATCATAATCGAAATGTATAAACCCAATTCCTCCTTAGATTGATGGGATGATAACGGCATAGGTACTCACTTCTCAGGACTGCGCCTGCCTGCAGGTGTTGCCAACTTTAACGAATCCATCCTTGCATTTAACAGCGATAAATCTGCCCATGACCGCTTTGTGTTTTCCTGTTGCGTTCACAGCCGCGGTGGAGTTATCATCATCGGCGGTTCCGCTCGACGTAGCCGTAGGTGGCCTGCAGTCGATTTGCAGGAACACGAAGATCAGACAAAAGAAGATCACCAAAAGACGTTTGGACCACATGATAGCGATATACTAAGTGCTACTGCGGAATGAACCGTATACATTCTTAAACAGAATCCTGAGGTTATCTTGCTGACCTCAAAAATGGAGGATTATCTTCGATTGTTCTGCGAAATCAAAACGTCGTTTTTCTTGTTTTGTCTTTCAAAGTGTCCAAATTTGTATTGATTTTATTTCCGAGAATAGCCTTCCCGTTTCCTTTTTGATGTGAAATAGGTAAAGAGAACAATGTTTCCGCATGTCCTCTGTGTAAAGGAATCTTCAGGAAATTCTGATAATCAATTCTCGAAACGATTATGACGTACGAACTGATTTCGTCTTACACTTACGTACATACACAAACATTTAGCAAGAAGTTTTCAATTAATCATCACACAGAAATGTGCTCAATCAAACATTTTGTGTACGGATCTCTTCTTCTCTTAACTACAGTGTCGTCACTTCCTATAGTGGAGAATTTTGAAACCGCGAGTGATTCCAAAATCGAAACGGTTTTAAATTCAAGCAGTGCGAATAATGTGACTTATATAACCAGTCATGAAAGTGACAGCCAAAGTTTGGAAGAGTCGCAAGCGCAACCTAAAGAAAGACACTACAGTAAATTCCGCGCACGTACAACTTCGCACCTCCCTTCGCTAGTCCAAAGTGTGGTTATCTCGGCTGATTGTACCTCCGACCATGAACATATAAGAGGAGAGTGTAGACCATTATACAATTAGGGGGAATGTGACGTTTTTGGACGATTAGGTTGTAGGTACCTAGCTAGTATTGTATTTATTTAATGTTAAATCTGACTGGTTAATTTTTGTTATAAATAAATTCTCAGAAAATGTTATCCTTTTATCAAGTTTCTTATGGAGATGAGATCAAAACGTAGTATGTTTACTAATAACATATCAATACATGGATATGTTTTCCTTTTAATGATCAAAATTTTGTGGAACGATAAATATTACAGCAATGGATTAGCTGGATAAAATCCACAGCTATTACAACTTACGTCACAAGTACAATAATTAGTTGAGGTATTATACAAGCATTTTAGATCATTCGTACGATCTTATACTATGAGGTGCTATAAAAAGGCCGATAACGCTTGCTATGATTGACCCTGATCGGAAAATAGTACATGGTTTTGATGGTTGATGTATTCAGCATTTCCTGAATACTAACATCATTAGCATAGGTTATGGAAGCAAATCTCTTGCGCATATTGTAACGGCTTCAAAGAGGTCATACATTCCGCAAGTGTAATTTAACCATGACCTTCCTACACTTTTGCAGTTCGCATGGGCCCCTCTTAATATAGCCTTCCTCAGTAAATCTACCCCAACTCCCCTTCAATGGAAATGCTAGAGATGCAGCTAATTAGACCGCGTTAGCAAATTTTTAATCCTTTTCGACTACCTAAAAATTATAGAGTCTAACCATTACCACCTAATTTAGGTGGCAATGGCCTAACGCAACCCAATACCCTTTGTTTAGTTAAGTCGTCTCTTTCAGTTTCCGAAACAAGGAAACTTCTTCAAACTGAAATCCCCTTTTTTCTGTTCGCCAATGGATGGGTCAAGTTAAAATAAGGCAAGTTTATAACCAGATCTCTATCTTTAAAGTTAATGGTTTTTTTCTAGTAAATGCAACGGAGCGAAATGAATTCAATCTCAGCCTTTTAACTCAACAGGATAGTACAGTCGACAAGTAAGTACTTTCAGGTAGAAAAAGGTCAGAAGTTAATAAACTTTGGGATAATATTCGGGGATGGGTAGTTAACATTTTCTCAAGTTTTGGACGTTGAGGACCCTATGCGAAAAAAGGAGGGGGAAAAATGCAACATTTTCTACGTTCCTTCGGTTTTTCCCCAATAGATTTTTCCCCTACGTCCTACGGTAAAGGGATTTGTATACTTTTTGTAAAGTATTAAATTTCCAACAATTTTGACGCATCAAACATGTTTATATGTCAATTCGTTTTCGAGATATCGCGCTTCGGCGGCTGATCTTCTAAGTTCATACAACTACTGCGACTTGGAAATTCGTCGACGAAACTCGGCTTTAATACTTCTTTATAAATTACTTAATGGAAAAATAGAGTCTCCATATTTGTTGTCATTTATTAATTTTTATACTTCAAATCATAGAACTAGGCCACACTCATTCTATTTAAAGCTCCCATACACAGCTAATATAATACTTTCGTTAACTCTCTCGTTAATCGCATAATGGGATTATACAATGGTTTAACTCCTGAGCTGAGATTATTTGGTTTGTCCTTATCAAAATTTAAATCACCATTTAAACAGCATTTAAGCAACATTTAGAAATTTTCAAAATAATATATTCCAGTAAGCTCGCGTAGGTGAATATTTTTGTCTGTTAAGTGTAGCTTTTCATTCAGAACTGTTATTGGTTGTTGTTTTGTAAAGTGTTGAATAAATTCAAATTGAAATGGTCTATCTTCAGAAAAATGGAAGAGGCAGTGCTCCCAGTATCCTCTACTCGCCAAGTTTCTGCTGCTTTTCCCCACGAACATACGTTTACTTGGCCCAGACAGTGGATATGATACCACGTCAGCATGGTATAGAATGAGAAAGAAGAATATTTGCAGCACCTGCATGAAGAATACCTCCCTTTCTCTCTGCAGCGGTGACTCCGTTCGTGAGACCAAACGGTACTCCTCAGCAAATCATAGACGCTGGATAAAAGTTCCTGATTGCAGTTTATAGAGGATTGACAATCACAAACTCGTCGTCAAAAAAATTTGGTTAAGATCAAATATAGCGCGTAGTTAGAAACTAATAAAAACTAGGGCATCAGATTAAAGACGAAGATATGGGTCCATTTCCAATAATATCTGAAGTAATATAAAAATGAAAACTGAATTGAATAATCGTCATCATGCAAATATTTTCAGAACGATATTCGCATTAGTCTCCCATTAACTTATCTCTTTATTAGACATCCTATACTGTCTCTGAAACCTTCATTTGCAATTTCTGGTATTGCAATGTGCAAATGTGCTGCAATTGTACGAAATTCAACCATGTTTTCCATTTCCACACTTATTTACCGAAATTAATTTCCTTGGAAGTAAAGTACGCAATTACCATTAAAATGTGCGAAGCAAATATTGGAATTAAAGTTCATCTTTCATATCACACACAAAAGGCAATAAAACACTTATCAAGCACGCTTCTAAATATATTATTTAGTAATGCGTCTTGACCGAGAATTCCAAGGGTATCGTACAGAACGAACACGCGTTTATGATAAGTAATGTTAATGGCCTACTGCTAAATTGGCTAAATATCATACGTTTTTGATCATGATCTCGTGGTACGCAAACCAAGTTATATGGCTCAGCATTTTTGTAAGAGCACATCAGTGTTGGTGCTACGGGTAGGTATATTATTCCATATTAGGAGTTTTGTTTCCAACAGTATCTACACAGAACCAGATCTGGAACCAGAGGACTACAATAAATTAATTCACCTCCAGGTCGAATTCGTCAGGATTTATCTGCCTGCTGTAGATAGAATTCGCCCAAAATATTAAATGTTTAAATCCGGATGACCGCATTTGCTCTAAACTTAATTCAACAGCCCGCACCTTACACAATATACAGTAAACCATATCCATCACTCTTGGTATTGACAGATTTAACAAAATTGATAGTGTTTTTCAATACTGACGGGATAATATAAAGTGCATTTTCACAAAGGCTTCGGTCTGTATTAAATCTTTTCAATTTTCTTATTAATTTGCTTTAGATGACCTATAACCCCTCCCATAAATCTTGCTTAAGTTAGTGACGTACAGTAAATCAATACTTCTCGCACATCTAAATAGTGAGGTTTTAGTGTACGTCACTCCAGTCTTTAACACTTAAATTTTGGTAACTATTTCTACTTACATTCGTTGCGTTGAGTTCTCTAATGCAGCCCTTGATGGAAGGTGTAAATCCCTCTGCACAGTATAGGCCGATTCTCAAGAGTTTTATGTCATTGTTGGATTTAAAGAATAGTTTTGTCAACTGTACTCTGTCATTTGTTATATTCAGACGTGCACCAGACCACACCAAATTGAGAAGTAGCGCAAATAACAAACACGTGATTATTTTTGGGTTCATTTTGCAGTTTGAAGCTGTCACTCTGCGTAACATTAAAATATAGAAGTAACACAATATATTTAGACTACTTATCTCTGACCCTGATGCGCTAAATAGATTTTAATTTTTAGTAAAGGAAATGATTATAATTACTGGTCTCGACTAGCATTAGGGAAATCGAATACACTCTTGATTTAAGGGAAGATTTTACATATTGTTGCCTATGAAAATGAGTCAAAGTCGTTCAAAATGGTCTTGCAATCATTCAATATCTTTGCGGTTGCCGGGTAACACTTCGGTTTATCAAACAATGAAGGAAGGTTATCTCCTCCAGGTTGGAAAGAGTTCGGATAGTTCTTAAACCGTTTCGTACGCCTTTTGTAATTCTGTTTCTACTGTTCGAATTTTGAAATTGGTTTCTTGTACATTTTACAACTCCAGCTGCTCGAGTTGTTGAAACGGGGATGGTTCAATAGCAAAAAGTGGAAAAGCAACTGAAAGGAACCCATTTTCACCCTGCCCCAGGAAAAGGGGTTCATAGACCTTGCACCAGAAGACCCTGGCCAATGGACCACCTTCCAAAAAGGGCTCAAGCAAGTCCAAAATGGAACGAAGGGAAGGTAACCGAACCCCATGCCTTCTGTGACGCATCGGAGAGGGCCTACGGAAGCCGTGATCTACAGCCGGGTGCAGTGTGCAGATGGGCAAATAAAAACCGCCATGTTAACGGCCAAATCTAAGGTAGTCCCGATAAAAGTATTGAAAACCCTACCGCGGTTGGAGCTTTATGAGCAGTGCTGGCGTGTAAGCTGTGAACCGGAACCAAACCTTTAACCTGGGAACAATTCAAACGTTCGCATGGTCAGACCCAAGGATTGTATTAGCGTGGATCAAGGGTGTCTCCGAAAAATACGGTAATTTCGTGGGGAACCGAATTAGTTAAATTCACGTCTTGACAGACAAAAGGATCTGGAACCTGTAAAGTTAAAGGATACTCCAGCGGAACTAATCTCTTGAGGGGCAACCGGACGTCAGATCCGGAGAGTGAGTTGCGGTTCCACGGACCAAGATAGCTCCTAGAAGCACCGAGTGCTAGGGATACCTACACCTACATGCCAGAAAGCAAGAAGAAAAAAGAAAGGTGACCTAGCTAATCATACAAAGATTGACAAAACGATAAGGGATACATCTTGCAGATTTTGGAGGTGAAGGTAGAATTTATAATGATTTTTGGCGATCTCTGCGAAAGTTTCTAGAGTACCAAAGTATCAAAGTATCCTCCCTTTGTAAAAAATCAGTCAACTTTTTGTCTATCAGTTTAGAGTTTGATTTCCGAAAAAAATACATGTTGCAAAACCTAAATTCGTTTTGTTTTGATGATGCTAACGTACATATATCAAAAATAGAGGTCAAAAATAGGAGTGTGATCTGAAATTCAACCCAATGCAACAACGTTAATTTGATTTATGGAATTAAAAGTGTCATACCTTTCGCACTAGTGGAAAACGTCTAAAAACCTGTTCCATAATTTTCTGGGTAATATGGCTGTCATTTAACCGTCTATAGCCAAATGTGAGCGAAATCACAATGGAGAAACAGCATACAGTTCTCCAATTTTTTCAAAATTTTAATTTTAATTTTTCTTAGAACCCTGCATCTCAATTTCTCACTTATCTCCCTCACCCTTCACCATAGAAACCTAACTAGGGCTATTACTTAACAAGTTAAAAAGTAATCGTAAACGATTTACATAAAGCGCATTTCCACTTGCATTCATTTCCCATTTGTAAGATGCAACTTCTGTTAAAATCGTAAAATCCGGCCACAAATATGAAAGATAGCGTTGCACATGGGCAATCCATTTTTGACGTGCTACTTCAATTTCAGTTTATGAGAAGAATTTCATTTCAATGTTTTTCTAAATAAGAAAGTTGGAACTGCGCATGCGCAAACCTAAATTTTGAAACTAATGTTAGATTTTCCTTTGTTCCAAGCGCCAAAGTATCAAATTTCACTTAAATGCTTCCATAGATAAAAAAAGTTGGCACTGTGCATGGGCAAAATAAAATTTTTAAACTGGCGCTAGATTTTCCTTTATTCCAAGCACCTATGTATCAAATTTCATTTAAATGCTTCCATAAATAAAAAAATTGACACTGCGCATGCGCGAAACCAAATTTTGAAACTGGCGTTAGATTTTCCTTTATTCCAAGTGCCTATGTATCACATTTCATTTAAATTCTTCCATAAATAAAAAAAAGTGGGCACTGTGCATGCGCAAAAACAAATTTTGAAACTGGCATTTGATTTTCCTTAATTCCAAGCGCCTATGTATCAAATTTCATTTTAATTCTTCCATAAATAAAAAAGTTGGCACTGCGCATGCGCAAAACCAAATTTTGAAACTGGCGTTAGATTTTCCTTTATTTCAAGTGCCTATGTATCAAATTTCATTCAAATACTTTTATAAGAAGTTTGCAATTCGGTTTATAAATGGTCGAGATGCGAAAAGGGCACTGTGAATTTTGAATCGATTCGACTCAACTTTTGGCATTGCGTATTATATGGCTAAGGCATGCCCATATTGAATTTCATGCAATTCAGTTCATAACTAACGGAGATGTAAAAGCGATCGGACATTTCTAAACAAAATTATCGTTCACACGGACAGATAGAGGGACAGACAGGCAAAGGAACAGATGGACAGACCAACAGACAGACGACAGACAACAATACAAAATTATAAATGATCTCTAGGATGGTTAATAAACGGCAAGTGTAAAATTATGGAACATGTAAAAAACGGTTTGTTGGTTTTTTTACAATAACTTTTTTAGCAATAAACGCAGAAAAAATTCCTTCCTTGGTGCAAGCTTCGACACCATAACGAACCAAACAGCGAAAAAAGTAGAACAATAGCTCTTAAGATAAAGAACTAGTAGCGTCGCAAAAGTAGCGGACGGACGGACCGACGGACGGACGGACGGACGGACAAAGTGGCCACAATAGCGCATTTTTTTTTTATTTTTGTGGAAATGCGCTAAACAGGATCTGAAGGGAATATGGATGAAAATTATTTTGAACTTGTTGTGATAAGTGCCCATTTTAATATTTAACGTTATCGCTGATACAATCAAAAGTTCAGGTAATTTCATATAAACGATAAGGTTTCAGTTTCAGTTTCAGCTGGATTAATTACATACTTTTAATAATTTACTTAACACTAAAGTAATTTATAAGACTTAAATTAACCTTCGTAACCAAATGGAAAGCGATTGACATTTTTCTTGTCTTAACTTAATCACTGGGGTTGTCTGTCTGAAACAAATAAAAAGGTAGTACAATTTTGATTCCCCCAATCTCAAATTAATTAGTTCTCCTCCTCGCGCATATTAGACATAAAAGGTGGAGTAACTTACAGTTATTTAGGATATATTTTCCTACATTTTCCGTCGATTACTTGGTACCCATCATGGCACGGTACGTTTATAATTCCCGCCCAGTCAAAGGGTAGTAGGCTCTCATTAGTTGAAACTATTTCACTCTGATTTATCATGTCGCCTGACCTCGCCGGTGGTAACAAAACGCCAAAAATGATAATCAACTTAAGCATTATTATTCACAAATCACTAATATATGTTGAAATTTATAACCATAACTTCCCAACACTCGCACGAGAATTGTGGGTTGATAAGCTAGTACGCGAATTCCCAGCAAGGTAGTATTAGGAATCTGACATCAGTTACGTAAATATTTATTTTGGGGAAATTTATCATTATAATAGCTTTCGTATTTCCATCAGAATGTGTAATAAAATGTTGAGTCAATATTTGTTTTATATTCGCTGTTCTCGGGATTACGTGCTTAACTGTGTAGGTTATAGGTGAGGTACCCGTTTCCTACTTCCGTAGTTTTGGAACGCGTCACATTCCAATCGCAAATATGAGTAGTTACCAAGTACTTACACAGTACACGGAAGTGCATTTCAACTTCCGAAATTACCTTCTTTTGAACCCAGGACTAATTTCCACAAAAAATATAGTTTATTTTTATTTTAAGAAGATAGTGGTAGAAAGCATAGAGACGGTTTTACTTTCACTGTGATTGGTTAAAACACGAGTCAGTATTACCCTGAAAAATAAAACGAATGACGAATTCTGTCTGTTAGAAGTTAGAAGTCGAACTGTCATTAGTTGTCAGTTTCAAAGATCCAAGCGTGAAATCGTTTAATTTATTTATATTTTTAAAATGTTGTGCCGTTTTATGTTTTTCTATGTGTGTATATCTTCAAACACAGCGCCATCTACTACTTTCTTATAATGAATGTAGTATAGATAATACGATCGACCCCCTTTTGTTTGATCACCGAAAAGTTGATCTACACTTAAACGTTAATTAAGAGATAACCCTTTCAGCGTACGATTAAACTACGCGATCTCGAATTTATTCTAACCTGATCTCTACGATGGCCAAAGACGGGATCTCTCCAAAATTCTCTCTAGATTAATCTGTACCTACCCTTTTGTTTTATAAAACACCCACGAAATGGCGCCGAGAAATTCAATTAGGCATCTTTAAACGAATTAATCCAATTCGTTTCTGCCCCGTGAGTTACCAGGGGCATAACTCAAAATCAAGAACTACGAACTTTAGATTTACTAAAATTTTGGAATGACCCGCCTTATAATGGAAAGCCCATAAACTTTCTACTAACCCTGTGGAAATTCAAGGCAAAAAAGCCTTGCCCATTTTCACACAAGTGAAAAATATGCAATGCATAGATTTGTGTGCTAGAATAAATTTTGGCTGTGGCTGTGGCTGTGTGTTTATTCGGACCCTTTAACGGTCCAGGTAGATGTATGATGCTTAATTATGATGAATTTGTTGATCCGTACCCAAAGTTGGTTTCAGGTGTTTTCGAAATTTATTTAAGCAATTCTTTTTGGAACTTAAAGAATTTGATCGTGGCCGTTATTTGCCATAAAATTTGGAATTTGGAATGCGGGGATTCAAATGTGTTATTGGAAAATTTAAGAGAGCTAGTGTTTATGGTTCATGTTGGCCGGGCCATTGCACACAGCATTATTACGTGCTCGCATAGCCGCGCCCTTGGCGAGACTGAAAATGTTCCCCACACCTGGAAGTTTGGGGATATTAAGTACCCCCCCTCCCAATAAAACCGCGGGATCTGGAGGTCCCCGAAAATTTTACACAATTAAGTTGAAGGTTCCTAAGATATTCGAAAAAACGGCAATTAATCATATTGGTTTTTATTTTTTTTTCTGGCCCTGTTTGAAAAGATATCAAAAAATAAATAACACTTCCTCATTGGAACTTTTTCTCTATAATGCCCACAGATTTTCACTGCGACGTTTCGTATTTGAGAAACCATCACCATCTTCATATTTTTATATGGACCGGACAAAAAGTACATACTGAATCGAGTAGCATTTTTTATTACGAAAATAATGATGTATGGCCCAATATAGGATTCTATATTAGGTATGCAATTTACAGGAACCATCAATGGATTATTTTGACATTTTATGAACGCCTACTAGGTACACTAAAATGTGAAAAATTTAGTAACAAGCCTTTTTTCTGACTTCAATAATAAACAATTTTTAAAAAACTGAGAATGTATGTCCTAATTTTATTGATGGTATTTAAGGGTTGATATTGTGTAGCCAGATTCAATCAAATAGAGGAATTGCCCGCCCCGTAAATTGGACTTCCAGTGCCACATTACTTTGCGTAAAACGAAAGGCTACATTTAATAGATAGGTATTTTCATCAAAATTGACTTATATTATGTTAGTTCTATTGATGGCATTTAAAGGTGGATGTTTGTAAATCTTCCCTTACTGTTGTCTTTTTTCTGCGACACTTGTATCTCTTATTTCCGATTGATCAGATCCGACCTCATAATCTACAGTTTAAAGAATGGATTCCAAACTGATACCTAAACAAATTAATATTATTACATTTCTGTCTCTGTAAAAAAAACGATCGACATGCATTACTTTAATTTATTTTATCAAAGAAACTGATATAAAAATCAAAAAACAGTTTTGAAAGTAGAGTGATTTGGTGAAATGATATATACCTTTTGTAGTCAAATGTAGAAATTTTGGAAATTTTTCGGGCACAAAGGTACCATTTCATATACACTTTTTAAGAAAAAGGCCAAAATCTATAGCCGCCTTCTGGCGGATAACAATAACCTCAATTTAATAATGTAGTGCTACTGCTGAAATCCAAGTTTCTGAACACCTTGAAGCACCTGTAGTATTTTGGTGAGTAAATTTCATCCTTCCTCAAACTACATTAATCAGAAAAAAACGGAACGTCTATTCAATATGACTGGGGCCATTTTTACCTTAATAGAAAATTTTCATTTTCGCAAATAGTCGGCCCTGTGATGTATCAGACACGTGCAGATTATCTGTCAAAGACGTTATTTTGTGGTATTTAGTATGGGTAAAATAACGTTTTCTATAGATGACCTGCACGTTAAGTTTAACGTTAGTGATACATTACACAGCTTATTATAGGAATGTCAAAAATGGAAGGTAGGTGTGTCTGAAATCCAACACAATGCAAACAAGTAAATTTGATTTTTTGAAAATAATACTTTTCGTACTATTGCATGTGTTCCATAATTTTCTTGGTAATATGGCTATCATTTAACCATTAATCATAATCAAATGTGAGCATAAATCATTTTGTAGAAAAAGCGTACAGATTTTCAATTTTTTTACCATTTTTCCTTTTCGTATTCGTTTGCACCATACAAATCCATTTAGGGCCATGTTAAAAAAGAAGGGAAGACGGATGAAAATCATTTTGAACTCGTTCGGATAAGTGTCTATTTCATTTTTTTAACTTTAGCGCTGATATACATTTAAGTTCAGGTCATGTCATATAAACGATAAGGTTTCAGGGATTTCATCTGTAGATAAAACTGGATTAATTCTATAGTTTTAATAATTTATTTAATACTAAAGTAAATTAATTTTTTTAATTAACCTCCGTAGCCAAATGGAAAGTGATTTTTCTTGGCCAACTTAATCAACGAGGTCTGTCTGAAACAAAGAAAAATTTATTACAATTTTTATTTCACCCAATATTATCCTTTTTTAGTACCCCCCCTCGCGCATATTAGTCATAAATGGTGGTGTAACTTACATACTCTCCTACATTTTCCCTCGACTATTTGGTACCCATCATGACACGGTACGTTTATAATTCTCGCCCTTTCAAAGGGTGGTGTGGTGTTATCAGTTGAAACTATTTCACTCCGATTTATCATGACGCTTGACCTCGCCGATGATAACAAAACAACAAAAATGATAATCAACTTAAGCATATTATCCATAATACATTGAAGTTTAACCAATAAGTAATAACTTCCCAACACTCGCACGCGAGTTGCGGGTTGATAAGCTAGTGCGCGACCTGTCAATTCTTAGCAAGGGAGTTGTATAAGGAATCTGACATCAGTTACGTAAATATTGGGAAAATTACTTCATTAATATCTTTCGTATTTCCATCAGAATGTGTACTAAAATTTTGAGTCAATATTTGTTTTATATTCGCTGTTCTTGGGATTAAGTGCGTCAAACTATGTAGGTTATAGGTGAGGTACCCGTTACCTACTTCCGTAGTTTATGAAGGCGTCACATTCCAATCGCAAATATGAACAATTACCAAGTACCTACGTATACACAGTAAGTATACGGAAGTAATTTTCAACTTCCGAAATGTCATTCCTTTGAACCCAGGACGGATTTTTGGACTGAATTTCCACCAACCAAAAGTTTTTCCACAAATATAACATAGTTCAAATTAGAAAAAATTAGAATAACACGCGTATCTCAAATAATAGTCACACAATCCAAGATTTCTAAATGCGAACTGACTCAATACCTCCATGCACCCCTATAGGGTGTATTCCTAACAGCGATTATAACTATTTCAAGATACGAAATTCTACGGTTTCAGAAACTGAGCGACAGTAACGAAAGTTAAGAATCAATCAAATAGAAGAATAATGAATGCCCGACTATCCCTAAACTGGACTTTCATTCTCGCATCTATTTTGCATTTATTATTTTTACAAAAATGCATGTAACAATTTTATTGGCACTATTTAATTTCTAGATTAAGTCTCAACTAATTGGAAAAATAGTTATTGCTCGACAAGCCCTTAAATCGATGCCGGAATCTGGGTTTCCTATAAATTTTTAAAATGATTCCGAAGTGATATAAGAAAAACTATAGCATCTTAAAAATCAAAGAATTTGGAAACAAAGGTCTTCAAAAACATTTTTTCTTTATTTTGAAAGTCGACTACAAACTTTGATAGTATACCTATATGATTTTAATTTATTTACATAAACGCTCTTGAACGTACCCGGCGTTACATCCCAGAAAAGTCAAACATCGAATAGGAAAAGCTTCTCTTTTTAGGCAAAGAATAAGATTCAGAGGAGACCTATACTGCAAAACATTCTTATCTCTCGTAAACAGATAAAAGGTGAGAATAAATAGCTCACCGTGAACGTCTGTTGAAGTATTTAACCTTAAAACATCTTTCGACATTTTCCGTTGACCATACGATAGCCATCGAAACATGGCACTTTAAGTGACGAAAGAGCTCTAAAACAGAAATATAGCGAATGAAGCACTGCAAGCCTCGGTGTTGTTGTACATACGTTTTGGATGTTAATAGCACGACGTAAATTAACATGATTAAAAGTAAGTGTCTTAGGGCCATCGTTATTAATTTTCTCTTGCACTTGCACTACCTTATTCCCAGGAAATTCTAACTACACAGTTGCCATGAGACTATCCCTTCACGATTTCATGAGTGATTAAGACGGTATTTCAGTGTGTCACAATTAGATTACATGAGAGATAAGATTTATACGTTGAATTAACGTTTTTTGCGCCTAAATGTGAACCAGCCAACTTACCTCATCGTCTTTGTAAACTTTTCGACACTTTCCATTTATGAGCTCATAGCCTTCCTTGCACGGAACCTGAATGATCGACCTGTTTCGGGTAATATTTGTTGGAGAAACGACATTTACGGTTGCCGGTACAGCGAAATCATGTGCATCGATTTTGGTTATTAAGAGCAACACTACTGCAACTGCCAGCAAGATTTTGCAAACCATGATTGGGCACAAATTTAGAAAAAACGTTACTTTATATTGGTAATTGCTAAACTGTAAATGCTATAGGTGAGATAATGTGCTGACGTTTATACATCATACATATGACAAGGAAAATTCTAGAATGACGTAGTTCTTGATTGCGATTAGATTAGCCTATTTTACCTATTGTGGATCTCTTTAACATGGAATCTGCATAAAAGCGGTAGGTATAATTAATGTGTCGATTGTATCGGTTGTATCTATGCTAGACGCCAATTGAAGCTGGGGTGATCCGAAGAAAGGCGTTCATGTGAACAACTGTGATATTTCAAATGATTCATGTTTAAATCGCGCTCATTAAAGTGACCAATAAAAAAGTAAAATTAAAGCTATAGGAGTGAAAATATCTAACGTTTCCTAAGTTAATGTTTTATGAGAAATAATTTTGTTGGAATATGAATCAAATCGACTCTCATTCGTCGGTTGATTTGGCAAGTAGTTAGCAGTTTCCTCAAATAAGATGGCTATTCACTTTTAATCAGATCAGTCCAGTCACGATATGACTACAAAGTAAATGAAACCTGCGATATTGTGACCATTTACGTGTAAATCCCACGACTCTAGTATTAGAAGGCGATTGGAAAGTATTTTAAAAAGGGAATCAAATTGGCCGAAGCATTTCAAAATTTGCTACGGATTTCCCAAATATTTCCAATATTACACAGGTTGAACACATTTCAATTTATGGCATATTTTCAAAACCACCTACACTGTGACGTATACCCCTGCCGTAGAGGCAACTTATCATACATAGCTAAAATTTCTTTGAGTTTCTCGCCTGTCCTATAGAGTGTACCGCTTCTGCTTTTCTGACCAGCACGTGCTCTAGACGTGTGTTCCGTTGTTTTTCTAATAATTTATTAATTATATAATCGAAATTATCGGAAATTCACAAATGTTTATGTGATACGTTATTGAACTTTTTGTTTAGTTAGCTACGCCTTCATCGAAGGTAAATTTCGTCTTCAAAATAATTTCCTTAACTGTAAATTCGTTATTCTCTTTTCAAGGTGTTTATGGCTAAAGCGTTTACATTTGGTTTTACGTCATCATTCGCTGCTGTGTCACTTTTAACTTTCAACGTATAAATTGTTACCCGAAGTCAGAGAAGAGCATCTACATTTCCCGTGAATCATCGTTAAGAATTATCCCTCATGCAGATAAGAGCTTGTGAACCATTCTAAATGGCAACAAGAGCCTTTCCAGTACCTGCGTCGTTTCCGTTTGATATTTTGCAGCTGCATTAAGAGTGCGACATCTTACACTGCACTCCCCCTCTTCCACTCCCACTGCACTCTCACCCAGTAAATAAATTTCTTGAGACGGCCGATCAGGTGTAGGTAGATTTCTTTCCGAAATATTGTTGTTCCAAGATGGCGGAATTGCCTGATTCACGAACTTGACCGAGATATTTACGAGTTACCCCAACCCTTAAAGTTTGGTCGAAATCGGTTTGTAATTACGAAAGTTAGAGTGATTCTTGGAAGTGATCTATATATAAAGATAAACTTATAAACATATATACTTAAACCTATAAATATACTGGGACCATTACAATAGGTAGATAGAAATCTATACTTACCTAAAAGACATAAATACCTCGCACAAGTACAACTTGGTAGAGAAATGTCAAATGTTGCATACTGTAACTTCATCATTTTTTGTTCTTTGACAAAACCAACGTAATGATGATCAATTTTCAAAATCTCTGCTTTTAAATTAATATAAAAATAATTAGAGCAGCCATTGACAATTCGATTGCAATTTCTTGCCTAGTATCTCGATCACTTTCAAAGGTTGATTTATACGTTCGATGTATACTCTTGCAGATGCCATGTTTATTTAAATTGGCGTCATTTTCATTAAATTGTGATTTTTCACAAAGGAAAAGTGGACGGTACATTTTAATGTTATTTATCTTACAAATATCTCCAATTAAGAACAGTTTTTCCACCATAACTGCTGTTATTCGCTAATTTTTGTATTAGTTAACTGCTATGGCACTATAATTATGAATGTTTATATAAATACCTCTGTATAGCGCAACACAATTCGGGTGTCCTTAAACTGATCGTAACATTTAGGCATGCTGAACACCAAAAATTCTTTAATTTAGTGTTCATGATAAACTAGATATCCTTAACTGGTGGTTTATGTAGTCCAACATCTTTTTGTAGCACCGGAACCATACAAAAACTGTTTATTCCAATCAAACAATGCTTTTTTTCTGATTTCTGAAACTGAGAGAGTGTTAATTTGCATGGTGTGCTTACTTAAACTTCGAAGTCTCTATAGATACTCCGTTCACTTGCTTGAGTTTCTACTTGAACTAATGTTAGCAATGCATCGATAGCTTGTAGTTCCTCATTTGTTGGTGTAAGCATAAACAGTTTCAATCGCTTCTTACTTGTTAAATAATCTTGCTACATATCTTGCCTTTCGTCTCGATTTGATGGTTCTTTTTACGCATTGAATCTTTCAATGGATTGGATACATTTTCATAGCAATAGCATTTAATATTCCTCCTTTTGCAAACAATCAATATGCAACATTAATGATTTAACTTGCCTAGAAATTTTAACGAAATGTAATCAGTACAATCATAAATTCACTAACGGTCTTCGCATATTTTCCAAAGCATTGTCTATTTACAGTTTCCTACCCAGCTTTGTTTGTTTCCCTACCGTCTCATTTTTATTGGGAAATTTATGGAACGTTGTGTTCGGCGTTCTTCGCTTAAAAGATTTACACCCTGTCGCACAATAAAATGTATTTGCCATAACCAACACATTAGCTTTGAATTAGGTATCTTCCACAAGCACAAATTTTACACATCATTTTCAACCTAATTGAGTACAAATTATGACCGTATACAAACTTCGCAATGCAATAACTACACGAGGTCCATATGGAAAGTCTTCGAAATAAATTTCGTTAAGCATATATATTTACTAATTCAACTACTGTAAATTAGTCTAGTTCATATTGCTGTGTTTATTATTTTATTAGTTCAATTTGGTCATTTATCTCGTACCAGAATTCGTTGTCCTTATCACGGTTTCCAAGATATTATACCTCAAATTAGCATGCCTCCTACTTTTCTAATGCGCTATGATCGAAATACATGTCCCTTCACACCGCTTCCCTTTGTTTTCGCGTTTGGCCAACGTAGAAGATATTTAAATCAAGTAGTAGTAGTAAATGACCATCCAAATGAGAGAAAACGAGCATTACCAACATGCTATCGTAATGAAGGGTAGTTTCGGCTATCTTGAGGTAAGATATTGGTTAAGGTTAAGGAGTGGAAGCAGCTTTTGGGCCAAATTGTGTAGTTTGCATGAGAATTAAATTAATTAATTAATTCTTTTGTTTTCATGGCGATCAAATTGTTGCTTTGGAACTTCCTTGCCAGATGATGTAGGTACCAACTTATAACTAGTTTTCTATTACATTTTGACTAAATACCCATAAATCCAGTTTTCAAAAAAGTGCGTGGGAAACAACAGAAGTCTTACAGCCTGTAAGCCGAAACAGACGAGAAAGTGTCCGTTCTAATAGTTATTTAAATTTTAACAATATAATGGGTTAGCAAGGGAATAAGGTATGTTGCTCATTAATTTAAAAGGTCATTTGTTTCCGAAACACGCTCCCGAAAATGGAACAATTACGTATTATAATGGAAACATCATAGAAAACCATAGTGTGTGGTACGTCATTTAAATCAGGTAGGTATAAAATTTTGCCGTAATTATAGCTAAATATATTTACAAAAATGGTAACTAATAATTCCAAACCCTTTCAACAAATACAAAACGTTAAAATACAATTAAGTTTATTAATTTCAAGTTATATGTCTATATAATGTTTCACTACACCCCAAGTGCTATAAACTCCATCCATCATCATGTATCTGCAACAAAAAGGAAAGATTAGGATCAACTGTAAATTTATAATTAGCAATTCCAAGGAATTAAATTTTTCACGCGTACATCAAGAGAAAATTATCCGGCAACGACCGTTTACTACTTGATATCCTTTTTTGCAAGGAGCTGAAATAATTGATCTAGTCGAATTCGCCAATGAGGTTTCCACCGAGGTCGCCTCAGAATTTGCTTCATCCGTAATTTCCATAGGTACCACGTACATGGAACAAACTAGCGAAAGTAGTAAAACGGACTTTATCATTGCGACCGTGCTCTAAGGCTCAAAGTCTCAGTTGCAAATGAAACAAGTTGATAAACTTCATATAAACAAATGTTGTAATTATTATTATCAGTGCCGTAACACAAACTTACTCCATCAGGTGTATACCCTTCTGCATCTTCCGCGAATCAATTCATAGCCATTTTGACATTTTGTGTGAATCAAGGCGGAGTAAGACGCGTCAAAACTCGCTTTGCGAAATCCCTCAAGCCGTCCGATAGCATTTGTTTCACCCCCTCGGCTTAAACTGTCGCAAAGCAAAGAATGCAAACCCGAGAGCAGAAGAATTGTTATTAACCAAGTCAACATGTTTACGAACAGTAATTCTGTAGCACGCGAAATAGACTAATTCGAAGACTTGCACAACGCATGTCGAAAAGGTTATCAGAAAAAAAATCCCTTGCGCACTCTTTAATGGAATAATCGGAATGCATACATTATGAGAAGAAATAATTGTATCCTAAATTAATGACTACTACTTACACAGATACATTTTTCTACACTTTCCGCGAACAACTTTGTACCCCTTCTGACAAGGGGCGTTAATAATGGAACCGGCCACAATTTTCTCTGTACTAGTAATTACACCACTGTCGCATGCTCTATTAGTTTGACAAGAGGTCGAGATGAAGAAGCACAACAGGATAATAACATTCGTATAATGACTAACACCCATTTCAGATAGGAGCTACATTTTAATAAACTACGCAACCGTCCGTCGGTTTTGCTAAAATTATCTCGCTTATAAAGCGTAGGTTACTAATGTCCCCATTGATTTTATCTTGACGATAGGATGAAAGTCTAAGATAAAGTGGACGTTCCTGGTTATTTAAAGTTACACGCATTCAGTTTTAAGTGTCACCTGGTATTTGGCATACCAATGCATGCCCTTAATCTTCAGACTAAAGATGGTTGTCATTCCGAGGTGCATCCGTGGGGGCCACAAAATACAGGATGTCCAACAACTAGCGAAATGCATTACCTATCATATTTGATGCGAATACAATTCTGAAAATGTGTACATAGCGGTGGTTATGAAAGTGATATGCATTACTCCTCTCCTGAGGAATCATGTATTAATTTTTTTCAGAATTTCTATTACTGGCTTCTGAGATGAACTGGCGTGTTTTGTACTTTGGAACACACTGTATGGTTGACGTATTATACACAATCCCCTACTTTTTAGCAAATAACACTCGAAGAAACTAATACAGGGCGTTAAATATAAGTTTGTTAAAAAATCGGGTGGTAGAGGAGATTAAAACAAGGACTTTTTCAAAATAAACCGAGTGTCCAACGTGTTTCGTTTGGAAGCCACCCTCCAAAAAGTGGTAAAATCTCTTTTTAATTTTTTCCTCGGCAGCTATAAGTGTTACAAAGGCCGGTGACACGTCTTTGAATAGGTTTTGGGGGTATACCTTTTCCGATTTTGTAATTTTTTGTTCAAATGCATACCAAGAAAGAGCGCACACTTAAATGGGACTCTGATTTCGACGAAATTTTGTATCTGGTGGTTTTTGAACATGAAAATCACGAACCCGAAATTATTCTACTCCAATTATTGACCAGACAACGAAAATGGAAAGAGTTCCACGAAATTTGTTGCTAAGTTGTGCTGCGTGGAACCTCCAACCGAAGAAAACGCTATGAACAGAAAATAATTACATCAAAGTTTAAAAAATAAATGACAAAGTAGGTACTTTTTACTACAATAGATGGGTTTGCCTACTGATGACCATAGTAAACCTCAAAAAAGGAGAGCACATGTGGTAGAGACCTAAAACCAAAATGAAAGTAGGTGGGGGGAGATACGAGTTGTGTTTTTAAGGAAATAAAAAGAAAGATATTAAGGTGGGGGATGATAAAGATTAATCCGATCCACCTTGGCATAATTATGTTACAATTTCGGAGAAGTAAACAATCAATATCGCTAGGTCAATCAGGGGAGTGTGCCGTTTAGGTTGACATAATGCCGACAATAAGGGTATGCCTTCCTGGGGTGCGCATAAATAGCGTGATTTTTGTCCAATTTTTAAGCAACAAGTGAGTAATGAGTTTATTGCGTTTTTACCAAAATCAATTAACGAATGCTGATAAGGGGACGCTATCAAAGTTACACTAAATTAAATGAGGTAAGCAACGCACGGGTGTGCAGGTTAAATAAGGGAATACATGCATTTTCTGTAGACGTAACAGTCAGTTGCGTATTTGATTTTCAAATACTATTTTTCCGGCGGTCGGCCTATGTTTTTGAAGGTTTTGTCGAAAGTAAGACAAGATAGAAGAAAGTTTGTGTACACGGTTGTGCGTTTTACATTAAAATAGTTCTGTGAAAAGTGTGTTATTAATTTATTAATGTACCTGTATCTATCATCTTTGTCATTGTCAAATAATAAACGAAGGCATATATTTCGGGTCCGTTAACTTGGCCCCCCCCACCGAGAGATTTGATGATCGTATTATTTTAAAATGAATGCGCTCGTTATGCACTCATATGCGCCACCGATAATAACTCTTGCGCCATTATCGTTTTTTAGAAATCCTAAAAAACATTGGGGGGGGGGGGGCAAGAAAACGTAGCCCCCCCCGCCACCGTACCTGTAATAACTCTTGCGCCGGAATCGTTATTTATACCGATAATAACAAAAAACATTTGGGGGGGGGGGGGAAGTGAACGTAGCCCCCCCCAGTACGTATTTTGCCGCTTGTAACTAGGTCACCTGATCCATTTGGTTATGCGCTCAATTGCGCCACTTCAATTAAAGCTTGCGCCATTAAGGTTAAGGCGTGACAAATTTTCAAAAAGTGGGGTGCCAACTTAACGTTTTTTAAAGTTACTTTTTTTAAACATCTTTTCATACGAAATGGTACTCTCTGGTATGCGCTGAAATGCGCCGTAAAAAGATATCTTTGCGCCATTCTTGTTTTTTGGTTATCCTTAAATATATTTGGGAGGGGCCAAGTGAACGGAACCCCCATAACGCATTTTGCTACCGGTATTTGTGCCACTCAATACATCTGGTTATGCACTCAATTGCGCCGCTTGAATTAAATCTAGCGCCATTACGGTTAAGCCATAAAAAAATTTTAAAAAGTAGGGGGGGGGGGGCTAACTTAACGTTTTCAAAAGTTACGTTTTTTAACATATTTCTTCTAGTACAACGTACCTTTTATCATGCGCTAAAATGCGCCGTAAACAAAACTCTTTGCGCCATTATAGTGTTTCAGAAACACTATATAGTATACAGTGTCCAAGATAAGGATGTCTATCATGGGAATCTCGGAAACCATAAAAGATACGACGACGGTCAAATTAGCGAAAAGCTGTGCAATGAAAGAGTTATTATCACACTTTAAAGTAAACCAGAAAATGCCGATTACTTTCGAAGATATACCAGAAAAACCGAAATTTGCGCCGATTCCGTTTTAATTTTTTTCATGTTATTTGAGCAGGTATAAAAAATAAAAAAAACACTTTCTCGTGGCCACTTTTTGAGCTCTACAAGACACCGTGAAGAGATTTTCAATGCAACGTCTCGATTCAGAGAAATCATCATCAACTTACTTGAATTAAAGCTTGCGCTATTAAGGTTAAGCCGTGACAAATTTTCAAAAAGTGGGGGGGGGGCAACTTGACGTTTTTGATGATTTGCCAATCGTCATTATGGGTTATTAACCATTCTCATTTAGGTAATGACCAGGAAAATTATGCATGGAGTACAATGCGGTGTATTATATCCTAACCAAATAAGATACGTTTCAAAGAGACGTCAAAAAGTAATAGATATCATTACAAAACCAAGCTAAAGTTGCACAACTAAGCGCATAATTAGAACATAACTTCACCGCATAACCATACACACTGTTTTCAAAAAAACGAACACGGGGATCTCCGAAACCATAAAAGATATGACGATGGTCAAACTAGGAAAAAATTGCGCAATGAAGAGCTGTTATGATGCTTCAAGATAACCAGATTCTCATACTTCCGCACCCGCGCACAACGTCCTAATTGTGCGAAAATACCTATCGCAAACATTTTTCATTTTGCAGGAAATTTGTTTGTAAAGTTGATGATGATTTCTCTGAAACGAGACGTTGCATTGAAAATCTCTTCACGGCGTCTTCTAGAGCTCAAAAGGTGACCACGAGAAAGTGTTTTTTTTATTTTTTATACCTGTTCAAATATCAAAAAAATTAAAACGAAATCGGCGCAAATTTCGGTTTTTCTGGTATATCTTCGAAAGTAATCGGCATTTTCTGGTTTACTTTAAAGTGTGATAATAACTCTCTCATTGCACAGCTTTTCGCTAATTTGACCGTCGTCGTATCTTTTATGGTTTCCGAGATTCCCATGATAGACACCCTTATCTTGGACACTGTATGCTATATAGTGTTTCTGAAACACTATAATGGCGCAAAGATTTTTGTTTACGGGGCATTTTAGCGCATGATAAAAGGTACGTTGTAGTAGAAAAAATATGTTAAAAAACGTAACTTTTGAAAACGTTAAGTTAGCCCCCCCCCCTACTTTTTAAAATTTTTTTATGACTTAACCGTAATGGCGCTAGCTTTAATTCAAGTGGCGCAATTGAGCGCATAACCATATGTATCGAGTGGCACAAATACCGGTAGCAAAATGCGTTATGGGGGTTCCGTTCATTTGGCCCCTCCCAAATATATTTAAGGATAACCAAAAAACAAGAA